ACTGTTCAAATCCTGTGTCGAGAATACTGACTAACTTGTCAATCGAAATTTTTTTCACTTTCAATAACCTCTCTGTTACTTTCTTCACTATTGGAAGCGCGCATATGTAAATGCTTTACTGGCTTTATGCGCATGCATAGTGAATGTGCGCATCAAATGTGCATGCGTAAATGCTTTATGCGCATGCGTAAGTTTTTGGCTTTGAGGTCCGGATTATAGATCATTTCGGATAATGGACGTCCAGATTACGGACTTTGTACTGTATATAGGTTAATGTTCAATAAGATAATATTCCAAAATTTTCATTCTGTTGTTTTATTTTATTTATCTCATTCTTATCATCTCCATTTTTTTTTTAATCTTGATTTTGGCTGACCTCTTTGAACGGTTCGTGATAACCTTCAGGTTTAAAAGGGAATGGGAGACCAACTTTTTATTTTAAGTTACATATTGTTTCCTAAATAAATAAAATTTGCTTTTAATTTCCTTGACTAATTGCTAAACATTATTTCCTATATGATTATCTCTTTGACTTCATTATATTTACTTCTGTATTTATTTTCATATTTATATACAGTAAACTCTCGCTACAACGATACCCGATACAACAATAACTCCCTCTACTACAATAATGTTTTGTGGTCCCGGTGATTTTGCATATAAACTAATGTTAATCTCCCCTCAATATTGCTATATTCTCTAGAACAATAAACTCTGTAAAACGATTTTTTCAATCTAAATTTCAGTATTATTTTGTCCATTTATAATAATATTTTGATTTTCAAATGCTTTTTTTTTTTTTTTGTTTCTTTTGTTCTTTTTTTTTTTCCGTCTATTAAGACTCATTGTGGATATTCAACTAATCCCTGAATAAATAGCTATTGTTCAGATTTCAAAACAGATGAAGACCACCCTTTTGAACTGAAAACGACTGAAAGTTGCGACAAATGAAAACATTGATGCTGCTGTTTTAAAATGGTTTCAAGAGATGAAAGCAACAAATGTCCCAATAAATGGACCTTTATTATGTGCAAAAGCACGGAAATTTGCAGCAATGCTAGGGAACGAAACTTTCAAAGCTAGCAATGGTTGGTTAATGCATTTTCGAGATCATCATGGAATAACTTTCCAAGAAGTTCACGGAGAGAAAAAGTCAGCCCTGATAAATGACGCAAATGAATGGCGGCGAAACAAGATGAAAGAAATCTTAGAAAAGTATGCTCCAGAAGACATTTATAATGCAGATGAAGCTGGGTTGTTTTTCCAACTCCTACCCAATCGAACATTGGCATTCAAGGGTGAAAAGTGTTATGGAGGGAAGAAATCAAAGCAGAGACTGATTGTTCTGTGTACAAATAGCACAGGAACGCATAGAATACAACCCCTCGTCATTGGTAAATCATTGAAGCCAAGGTGCTTTAAGAACGTGAAAAGTCTTCCCGTGGAGTATAAAGCAAATAAGAAGGCTTGGATGACGTCTAAATTTTTTTCCGAATGGTTACAGAAGTTAGACAATGAAATGAAGAGGAGAAAGAAAAAAATCGTTTTGTTGATAGATAACTGCGGTGCTCACACGTCATTTCCAAAGCTACAAAATATCGAAATCGCTTTTTTCCCTGCCAATTGCACTTCAAATTTTACAGCCTCTTGATATGGGCATAATTAAGTGCTTCAAAGGATATTACAGAGAACGGTTGGTGGACTCCATACTTGTAAACTTTGAAAATAAAGTAGAAGACCCTTTCAAAGCTGTAAATGTCAAGGAAGCGTGTGACAATATTGCTGGAAGTTGGTGGGAAGTAACAGAAAACACCATTCGGAATTGCTGGAAAAAGGCCAGTCTTTGTGTTATGGAAGATAAGAAATCTGATAATGATGAAAATTCCATAGACAATGATCTCTTAGATGATCAAGAATGTGTTTTGCACATCAAAAAATCCGTATCCCAACTTGAGGAAACAAGCGGTAAAAAGTTTGGAATTAGTATAGAAGAATATTTTTAACAGCAGATGATGATCTTACGGTTTTACAGGAGTTACTGATGAAGATATTCTCTCTGAAATTACTGATGAGATAGGAAACAATGATGAAGATGATGATTGATATTGATGATGATGATAATACAGGTCCATCGCAGTCCTTATTGTCATCTCAGGAAGCTCTTCAATCTGGGAATTTCTCTACGGACATTTTTTTCAAGCCTTCCGTCGACAAATGAAACATTTCGTGCACTAGACTCAATGCATACAGTATTGGTGAACTTAACATTTAAAAAAATCAATAAACAACAAAATATGGATTATTTTCAATAAAAAGTGTTTCAGGTATGTGAATATTTCTATTCTTATTTTCTGAATTTATCTTATTTATTTATTTTTTTAGTATTTAAAACCACTATTATAGTATTTCACAAATTAATTTCTTCTAAATATAGACTTAAAAGTAGTATGCTATGCACCTTAAACTAATAATAATAAAATAAAACTCTTATTAAATGCTCAAAATATGTGGGCCCTCCATATAACAATATGCCTCTCTACAACAATATATTTATTTGGTCCCTAAAATATTGTTGTAACGAGGTTTTACTGTATACCTATTAATCATTACCTTAGCCAATAGGCCCATAATGTTTATTGGCATCAAATAAAAACTCAATTCCTTACAACTTTAAATAATCAATTTCAATTAAAAATAAGATATCAATATCCTTTTGCTTACATTCAAATATCAGAACTGCATGAAAACTGCAATAGCTACGCAGTCTCTTGTGAAACAGAATTAAGAGTACTGAAACCAGTTAAAATTTATTAAATGTTGATGAGTCAAAAGCCATTTGTAGGTTTAATAACATAGTCAAATGAAAAATGTTTCAATAACTGTAAAATTTGATGATGACATGCACGATTTCACTTCTATCAAAGAAACATTTTACTAAATGTTTTTTTTAAAAACAATCACTGTAATGACCATTTGCATTATTTTATTAAGATAATTATTGATATAAAAATGCTTTTTATACTGTTATAATTTACATAAATATCTACATCCATTTTATTAGATTTTTTTCTTTAAAAAAATTTGTTGCTTGCTGATTTTTATTTATTTTGTATTCTTTTATAGTATTTCTACTGTAGTACTCTACTACTACTACTACTACTTTATAGTAATTCTACTGTGTACTTCAGTATAAATTTTAATTTGTGAACATTTGCTTCAATTTTATGTAATTGTTTTATTATTTAATATTTCTAATTTGCTTACACAGACACTAAACTGTAAAAATACCTTATGAAAATATGGACTTATACAAGTTATAGAACTTTAATAGATGGAAAATATTGTTGCTAAACTGGTGAACATTTGCAAATTTAATTTCTTTTTCATTTAGTGAAATTTTGAAAGTTTTTAAAAATACATTTTCAAGACTTTTGTGTTGTTGCTGAGTTTAAAATGTTGCTGAGTTTAAAACTCAGTGATATTACACTGTGTGCTATGAATAACTTAGCAAATCTGTTTGTTTAAAATATAGAAGCTATGAATTTTCACTATGGTGATTTATAAATTTTAGGATGAATTGGTGATTTCTGTTCTTGCATTACATTATTATCTCTTACCTCTAATTGAAAATTTTTACATCTATTTCCTGCTTTTGAAAGAAAGTTTGGTACTTTTCCGTTTTGACGGCGCAAACGATAAAGTCGCCAATAATGGTTTAACTGATGCCAGACGGAATATCTTTGTTGGTAACCTTTCACGCCTCAGTTTCAAAACAAGTTGAAGCCATTTCTTATCAGATTGTTTCTTTCAATACTGGCATACAATAATATAGAATTTTTACACAATATTTAAATTTTATCCCCTAAGACAATTCACGGTAATAAGTCAATTAGTTCTAAGTCAATTAGGTTCTAAATCAATTAGAACGCAATTACACCGCTCATCCGAAGGCAAAATGAAGTGTTAAATTCATCAATTCTAATGAGAATGCACTAGCGAAGTAAAGCACTGCGGTTTTACATAATTTCTGAGTAAGCTATTCGTACGAATTGAAATAATTCTTGCATTTAAACTTGTATTCCAAATTAAGATTTAACTTGAAATTAATGTAGATAATTACTGAGCGAATTAGATTTTAGTAGCGTAGTTTACGTGAGATGAGATCACTTGGGGTCACGTGATACGAACCGGCGAATCAGGATATTGAACCATGAAATCATAGTAAATTCTTAAATTAATGTCTTTTTACAAATTTATTGTCTTTATTTATTGGCTTTTTACAAAATTTTAAACCATATTAAAATGTTTATGCCTTCAAAATAAAAAAAAATTCTTAGAATTAACATTTTTTATGTGTATACTGTATGTTGTCGCCAATAAAGTCTGCTTGGCGAGATTTGCGCCGGCGAAACGGAAAAGTACCGAAAGTTTTTATCACCTACAGCTGTAGTAAAATTTTCCTTTTTACCATGCAGGTTTAATCATGAAATCTTAACAAACTGATAAAAATAACAATATTTTTGTGACAACAGTATACAAGTAAACAGTTCTGTTTACTTGCTAGACAAATGAAATAATTATTTTCAATTTCTGTTACATATGGAATGCTTTATATAAATGACAACATGATGCCTACTTACATTTTTATTTTAGTAATTAGCATTAAAAAATCATTCCATTCCTTATGACTTGAAATGCATTAAGTTTTATAATTTTTTATTCTTAAATCTTCCCTTTTCTTTACACTGACTGAAAGATGCATTATTTTGAAAATGATTTATCAACTAAAGTTTTTCCTGCAAAACTACACATAAAAATCTTTTTACAACAAATGAGCAAAATCTCGATTATACGTGTAACTATTGCAAAATGAATGAGTTACCTTACACATTTAAAATAGATATGATGGATCTTGACAATACAGAAATGTCATACTTTAAACTTAATGTAAACTACTGGCATAATGTATAATAAGTTGAGACTTATTGGTATTAACTTACTTTACACAAATCAAAATATTGCCTTTTCTGAAAACTTTTGTCTTTCCCACCACAATTTTTTTCAGCATACTCCAGTACAATCATAAAAGCAGTATTATGAATTGCACTAGCAAAATGCATTAGTAGCTGGTCGATCGCAGTCTAAAAGAAAAAGATACATATGGCATAAGCAATTTACAACATTTTGCTGTTTATAACAATAATCAAGAATTTAAAGAGAAAGAAACTAATACAATTTCATTTAAAACTAAAAATACATGAATACATAAAACTAAACACTTCTACATTCTGCTACTGGTAATTTGGCATTTTCATGTAAATAAATCCAAGTGATAAATTGCTAAATAGTAATAAAATAATGTGCTTAGAAAGTTATTAAGAAGTTTAGTTGCCTATGTATTCGAACACAGAAAAAATTAAACAAACTTATTACAAAAAGTTTTAAAAACAAAGCTACTCAACTACACACAGCTAAATATTTTCAAAATGAATCTCAATTTGAGTTCTTCCACATTTTAATATTAAACTTAATTATAATATTATTAATATTAATTAATAATTAATTTAAATTAAATAATTATGTCAGTTGATAAAACTTTAAAATAAAAATATCTAATGTCTTGTATATTTTATCAATCATCATCACATTTGTAAAAGTGCAAAAACTACTAATTTATTTCCATCAAAGTAACATTATGAAAATTATACTTCACCATTTAAATTCATACCTGCATTTTCCCAAGCAACGCATATGCTTCCTGGAGCTTCTCATAATGAATCTGATCAAAACTAGAACAAACTTTAGACAAAGCAACATCTAGCTGTTCTTCAGTCATTTCAAGTGTATCTTGGAGTTTTGAGCTTAGTTCACTGCACGCACAAATAAATAAATATTCTGAATATAAATATCAAAGTCATCAAATGGCATGATAATATTTGCATAAGAAATATGATACACATATATTTTCACTTCTAGCCTAGATATAAAGCTAGTAGTTACCAAAGTAACACCAGTAGTTTTCTAATTAAGTTAGAATATCATCAAATTTTTGTTAATTAAAGTATTTCTGTTGATAATTAATAAAAACTGATTTATCAAATGGAAAAAAAATTCTCATAATAATCCACTTAGCTGCCAAACTTTGCTTTTGTTTTTTAATCATGACATTCTATTTCTGACATATTACAGAGAATAATAAAACATTTTCATTTACTTCTATAGTAGATTAAATCACACAGTAATCTATAAAAATATGATAACTACTACAACACAGACTAAGCTTTTCATACTGAATACTATTCTTTTACACTTTTTGTGCAGTATGATAAAAATTCTAATAAATCTGATAATAATAACTTCTTTCTGAAATAATCTGTATAATAAAAAACTGTCAGTTATTTTCCTACCCCACACATAAGATATACTTTACATACAAATACTTTATATATCTTATATACATAAAAGAATTAAAATTCACTGAAGTCTTATCTCTTTTTACCATTTACAGAAGAAAATGATAACAGACAGCCCAATACGGCACACTAAGAAACTTATGAAATGGTCCATGAGCCCATAATGGTTATCAAGGATTTAAAAAATAAATAAAATAAAATAAAAAAAACTTGAAAGAAAAGAATCAAGGTTATGCTACATTAAGAACACAGAAATATTTTACAATAAACTGTGTTTGACCAATGACATTCATATCATGAATAAACATAGAGAGAATTATGACAAATAAGGAAAGTGCTCATTAGAATGGAAATATTTAAACTTCTCAGAATTAAAAGAAACATGAATACATGAAACATGAATACTCTCCCTAAATGAGAACTAATTCTGTACAGAAAATACGATTAGAGAGGGGAAAGAGAAATATGCACTACATAACACCTGTCATGACATTTCCATTTTTTTAAAATTTATTATTGTGCTATATCATTGCAATAAAGTCAAAGAAAATAAACTGTACATAATTATCACTGAACTTAAATCTCTTTTACTGTTTTATTAAAATTTCGCACATGCCAAAATTATCATTACATGCTTGAAATCATGTATTTCTCTGAAACTGTGAATAATAATTTTATGCGTTAGTATGGAATAATACATAACATCATAACACATAAATATAAAGGAAAAAATTTATGAGCACTGCATGCAATATATAGCTATAGCATAAAACAATAAAAATGGTAATAATATGTTAGAAGGAGTTAAAAAAAAATTAAGGGTTAATATGGTTTGTAACTTCCCTGACTTTCACATACATATCATAATGTGGTTTCATACTGGCAACAACAATGTTGACCACAGTTTGGGGAATTAAGTTCCACTCTTCCAGCTATATAGTGTTCAGTGCATTTACCTCTGGGAAGAGATCTTTCCATACAACTGCTTTTTCTAAGGTAGTCCTGCAAGTTCTCTGCTTGTTTAAGATCAGGAGAACTTATTGCCATTGATATTTTCTCAATGTTTTCCCTTTCAAGGAACTTGTCAACTAGGTTTGCTCGATGTGGACAAGCATTATTGTCCATAAGTAAAAAATCAGATCTATATGCACCTCTGAAACGATTTTCTTAAGGTTAAGACCTTGTGACGATTATTCCTTCCCATTCCATCACAATTTCAAAGTCATGTTCCATAATGCATGAAGAAAGATTTCACATTCTTGACTCCCTCCAGATGTACACAGGTTTTAATGAAATGTTAAGATTTCACATTCTTGAATCCCTCCAGATGTAAACAAGTTTAAGATGAAATGTTAAATTTAACCTTGGCTCATCATTAAAAATAAAATTTGACCACTGGTGTTCACTCCATTTCTGATGTTTTTTGAACGAATTAAAGCAATCCCTCTTCTGTTGTGAAGACTAGACATGCCCTTAGCTTCCTGCATAAAGGCCTTTTTCCTTAAGCCTTTTGCATAGAGCTTTTCATGATATAACAGTTCTAGTGACACTGCAAATTTTGAACTTAACTGCCAACCAACAGATTTCATACTATAACAAGTAGTTAATGCCACGTTTGTGTTATTGTTCATTAATTGTTTTTCGCTTATGACCTTGACCAGGCCTCCTTACAACAGTTCCAGAATTCTGAAATTGTTTCAATAACACAGAGACTATCTATCTCGAAATACACATCTCATTGTTTCCATGATTTTCTACCCTATTTCTAACTGGCCGATGATTAGCCACATCACAAATTCTTCTAAATTATATTTTGGAGCCATAATAAACCATTTTTTCAGTCTTTACACACTGAAATCTAATGCTGTATTGCAGAAATTCACTCAGATGGTCACTTTGCACAAAGTGCTTGAGTTGTCACCAGATGACGAAACACATTGACACCATTTAATCACTTTTGATTGGATAATGCTAATTAGGCTTGTCTTTCACACATTCTGTGCAAAAATGGATTACATAAATTGGATATTTCATGGAATATCATCACTTTTGAGTATATAAAGATAAATTTGGATACGAGTGCATTTTAGGTATTCTGGATATGAATTTCTTTACAAAGCTTTAAATTTTCTTTATATGAACAAGCATAATACTACTGAAAAACATTACTTAATAACCACTATAAAATATTTCAAGCTCAAAACTTTTGTTATATAATATTTATGTATTGTTACTAAGAAATGTAATGAAAATGTGAAAGAAATATATGCCAAAGTAGGAAAAATATACGTAAAATTTAATAACTAAATCTAATATCAAAAAGTTTGCATAAACATCAATGACATGACCATTACACAATGAAATACTTAATGATACAGTAATTACATATTAATATATTGAATAGTGATACATTTATTAAAAAATAAAAAGTGTGTATGTGAATATATATATATATATATATTCATATTAGAACAACTAAGCTTTAAATAAAAATCTCATGTTTAAGATAATAGCTGAGTGGTTAGAACGCTGGTCTCAGATACCAGTGGGATTGAAGGTTTAAATCCCTTAAGAGAGAATTTTGCCACTATGTTTATTTCAGGTATTCAACTGGGCATCATGACAACTTCTGGGAGGGTCAAGTGGATAAAAATCCAAAAACTGATAACGGCATATAACATATACTGTTTGCGAATTAATGCGCCATCGAATCTAATGCGCATCCCCATTTTAAAACTTTAAATAATAAAAAATTGTTTGTCGGCGAATGTAATGCGCATCAATGATATGAGGAATTTATTGAATCTTATTTTATACAACAATGGATTTGTATATAAACTATCAATTAATGGTATGATAATTTTATTTAAATTTAGATACCATATTTTATACAACAATGGATTTATACATAAAGTAGCAGCAGAACATAGAATTAACCTATTAGTGGGCTATTGTCATGTGAAACAATCATTGTTAATTAGCACTACCGTATATACGGTACCTATCGTAAAATATGAACATGAAATAAATCGTAACATTTCTATCTAGCTAACAGTTTCTACAATCAGTGATTAATAGTAAACGTCTTTATTCACTAATGTTTTCATCACTGGAATCCTCGCAGCTCTCTTCGTCAGAAGCAGATTCATTTCTTCTTTCCTCATCATCGTCATCCTCGGCGTTCCAGAGCACGTCATCGTCACTGCCATTCAATGAATTTGAAATGCAGCATTTCTTGAAAAATTTCACAATCATTGGTGCTTCGATGCTTTTCCAGGCAGCAGAAACCCAGTGTGCAACAATGTGCGGTGCAGCACGCTTAATTTTTCCTGTCGGGGTCAATACACAGTTTGGCTCACAAAACCATTTTTCGTACTCCGCCTGAACGTACCCCTTAAAAGGTTTATTTATACTAACGTCCAGGGGTTGTAACACAGACGTCATCCCTCCAGGAATGATAACAAGATCACTGCCTAGGCTGTGCATCTTCTTTTTTACGTCGTCGGTGAGATGACCACGAAATGCGTCCAGACAAAGCATTGATGGTGGATTAGAGAGCCCACCGGGACGGCGTTTCCATACATTTCGGAGCCAATCAAGCATTAATGATTCCGTCATCCACCCCTTCTCTTGGTTTCGAATCAGGACATCATCTGGGAACAGCTTTTCATTCTTAGGGGTTTTAGGGCATGTTTTCCGTTTGAAGATTAAGAAAGGGGGAAGTTTGCACCCGTCTGCTGTTATTGCCAGCATCACTGTTACGCGTTGTTTTTCACATCCCGAAGTTTTGATGATAACTTCCTTAGTCCCCTTCTCCGTAATGGTGTAGTTACGAGGCATATCAAACCAAATTGCCGTCTCGTCAGCGTTGCCAATTTGCCCCATTGAAAAATTCTTTTCCTTCCGAAGTGTGATGACATACCGCTGAAATGTTAGTAGTTTTCCCTCAAAATCTGCAGGAAGCTTTTGGCATATTGTTGTACGGCGTCTTAGAGATAAACCCATCCGCTTCATAAACCGATCCACCCATCCACGGCTAGCCTTAAACTCTTGTTTCGGTATTCCAAGAACTTCAGCCTCCTCTTTTGCTTTATTTCTTATGGTGTCACTAGTCACAGGTTGTCCATTCTTCCTCCTTTCACGTACAAATTCCAAAACTTTTTCTTCAATTTTAGGGTGTCTTCCTTTGCGAGGGCCAGTGAATTTCTTTCTACTAGCTTTAGTTGCAAACAGTGCCAATTTCTGTTGCCGCCACAAGCGAACATTGCTCTCAGCTACGTTGAACTCTCTCCCTGCCTTTCTATTGCCATTTTTTTCAGCATAAAGAATTACTTTACGTTTGAAAGTAGCGTCATATGACATTCTTCTCTGTTTGCCCTCCATTTCGTGACTACGTACTCTGCAGTTTGTATCCTCTATGCAATAATGTGTCAACGATAAATGTAACGGTAAATGTAGTCGAGAAATAGAAATTTGGTTGACGTCATCGGCGAACTTTGCACTCGAATCTAACGCGCCATCAAATCTAATGCGCACCCCAATTTTGAATACTACATTTGGCCAAAAATGATGCGCATTAGATTCGCGTAAATACGGTAATTGCCTCAATTCGATGTTTTGGAATTTACCACTTCAACATGAATTTTTCCACGGAAGCCATAGTTGAACACGAAATAAGAAAATATAGTGGCCAAAATCCTTAGTTCATGGGATTCAAACTCTCAATTCCATAGGTATGAGCCCAATAAAAAGAAAAACAGAGAAAAATTACAACATAGTACTGAAAGGAAATTGATAATAAACTGCCTACCTTATGCAAGAAAAATGTTTAAATGTGCTAGCTGCCTTTTGACACTCTAAACATAACTGTATTGCTCCAGGGTAATCTTCCTCCTAAAAGAAAATACATATTTAAGTACTTTTACCTACCAAAATATAACGAGAACCATAAATTTATGCAAACAATGCACATGCAATTTAGAAGTGCATTTAATTATTTTATTGTGCTTTACTTGAATTTTTACTTCCTTGTACGAAGTAAAAAGGAAGTATTGTAATCACAGAAAATTTCAGGTGTCATATTTCAACGAAAATATCCATTTTGACTGCTATTGAAAACAATTTAACGATGCTTTTAAATGACATCTGTACATAAGGATAGAACAAAAGACTCTTTTTCCCCTAAAAAATTATAAAACTAATTTAAAATGAATTCTGAAGAGATTTTTTCATGGTGTCTGTATGTATGCTCATTATCTCACATAACTCAAAAACGAGTAGCCTCAGGACATTGAAATTTTGTACACAGGACTGCTATAACATGTAGATGTGCACCTCCCATTTTGGTTGCAATCGGCTGAACCGAAAGTATATATATTTATATGTTACTCAGCTCAGTGAGTTTAGTTTCTTCATTTTATATATGTAATGAAACTGTGGTTCGATGACACAAGATGAAAGATTTTATTATGGATGCAGCACAAACTTGCATTAAAATTTTTGGTGAAACAGGACTTTTCCCATGATTCACTGTGAGCACAGCTTAACAAATTCGCACAGAATTTTCCATAATTAGAACTGGCCGAAGAATGTAATAGCAGAACAATTTTGGAGGCATTGAAATATGAAAGCTGAGACGTAGATTGCATAGAAATACTAATTGTGTAGGTACTTGATGCTTAGAGCGTCATCCATTTTGAAGAAGAAGCAGTCGAATTTTTGTGGCCACAATTCACTTGGCACTCTACTCGCGCCTATTAAAGAACATTTACAAATTTTGATATTATTCCCGTAGAAGCGAATAATAGCAGCACACACATGATTGCAGACTGGCGTCTGGCCAAAAGGAAAGCACAAGCAAAAGTGATGCATCAGTTCATAGAAAAAAGGGAGGGAGTCAAAAGTTTCAGTTTTTAGTTTTGGTTTACAATTTGGTGATTGGTCAAAGAGGCATCTGCATTAAGGGTTATGTAAGATGTATGATCAATTTGAATGACGCAATTTAGATTTACAGTGTTATTTTTAGGACAGAGAGATGAAGTTCCTAAATGTAATAAAAAATAAAAAAGGTTATAGTGAATTAAATTTAGAAGTTTGCTTTCATATTTTTTATCTTTTATATATATTTGTAAATTGTGCATTTTTTGCTTTAAAAAATGATTGAACTATGTTGTTCTGGTTAAGATTTTTATGCCTTTAGTTAACCTGCATGCAATAATTGTGAAATTATCAACAATTTAAAAAGTTTTTTAAGTGCGGCTAAGCCTAATTTTTTATTACCATGGCAGCCATGTTTGTTTGCATTTGAAATTTATCAAAGTAGTGGATTTGTTGCCAATCTAGAGAAACTAAGCTTCGCAAGTAATGTCTTCTTTTATTATTGTGAATTAAATCATGCTTAATCCATTCTAGAATAATCATTTAAGTTATTAGCTTGTTTTGGCGTAAAAACCATTATTTTAATTGTAAAAATTGTTTTTTTAATTGTTTTAACTGTATTTGGTGTTTTTTGTTTTCTATATCTTTCAAATTTTAATGAAAATATTTAGAATTTTTATGTATTTTTGCCTTGCCAGGAAGTCAGAAATGAATTAATTAGTAGCACATGCTCATTAGGTAATTGGCACTGAATCGTCTGCGAAAAACTGTTTCTTTTTTATTTGTTTAATTTTTTACATACACCGTTTTAGATTTATTTAGCATTTGAAAATAGAAGTTGTGGGAATTCTTCAGATGATATAATTTTTGTGCACTCTGAGTTATAAAATGAATGATATGTAATACTGTTAAGTGAACCTAGCGCCGAAGTGTCGCTATGGTAAATAAACATAGTGAATGTTAAGGAGTGCATTTATTCTATTGTGGTTTATGCACTATCAATGAAGTAGATTTAATTCAAAATTCGTTAACTATTGATTCAATATGTTTAAATGAAATGCAGGAAAATTGCATATAATTTAATATTTGTACATGGAAGTCATGTGGTGTACACATCAGCTTTTTATGCAAACATTAGTTTTCTAAACAATACAGTAAATGGATAAATTAAAATCAGAAATACAACATTTAATAATTTTAGCAATTTTGTTGAAAAGAATTAGTGAATGTGCACACTGAAATCTTATCTGAAGTTTTTGATCATTTGTTCTACACTGCAATTACAAAGGGGGGGATATTTCACTGCTGCACTTAGCTTCTAGTTTCATAAATGACATTCAGCAGTAGGTGTAGCATGCTTATTGTCTGATTTTATAATTGCTGGACATACCACTGGTAAATATTACAGAATATTTTTGAATTCCATCTTCTTTATTTTACAATTTCAGGATATGGAGGAGTGTTGTTTTCACACTTGTATAGTTACTAGATATGGAGTTTTATAGTTATTGCATATGGAGGAGTGTTGCTCTCACAATGTTAATTTTGTTCCCTTCTTAGAAAGATAATATATAACAGCTGTTAAGAACATTAAAGCTGCATGAAACTGCTGTCTGTTGATTATAACTCACTATATTACTTTAACTGGATAATCAAATTTTCACTATTTTTTTAGTTAGATATCTACATTACTTTATCCTAAACTCAAAAACAAGCTATCGGGGGGAAAAAGATTTTAATTTAATCTAGTTAATTTATAATCTTCCAAGTTGCAAAATATGTTATACAGAATCATTAATAATCATTCATTATAATTAAATCTAATATGACTTCATATATTAAGACCAAAAATTGTAAACTGAAGTTGCATTAAAAGACACAAAATTAATATTAGCTAAAATATATAGTATATGGCAGTGGTTCTCAACCTTTTCACTAACCCGTACCATCTAAACAAAAATTGAAAACCTTTAGTACCACCACTACAAAGTACTACTACCACCACCACTCTTGAACAAAGCTCAGATCGTATAAATTTACAAGTGTTAAAGAAAAAACTCAAATACAATGTTGGGATTTAAATTTTTGAATTTAATAGTTAAAAATACTTTGCTTCTTTGCACACTGCCTATTTTTCTCTTGCGTACCACCGGTTGAGAACCCCTGGTATGTGGCATTTAAAATATTGTTTCTTTTTGCTTACTTACACACCTTGAAAAATATTCATGAAGCAATGCACTACATTACCAAAACAGTCAACCCATAGCATCACCAAATCACCAAAATATATTTATATGGCAACCCATATATGCACATACATGCAGCAGATGAAAGTGGATTAATTTCAAATTTGATGGTGATTTGTGTTTGTTTTTGCAACTTTTTTGTTTGTTTTTACATTTTTTTTCCTTGCCATAAATGGAAAATGTTTCTAAAGCTAAAATATATATATATATAACTGTGCATAGCATCATTTAATATCTCTATTAAGATTATTGTCATTGAATATTACTCCTAGATGAATATAAAGCTTTCACATATACTACCACGATCAAAATATACCAGTAAAGATATTTTTACATTACCATTACTGAATATTATTGCTAGAGTAACATAAAACCCTCATGTAATGCAATCAAATTAAGATTCCCGTAAAACATGCAAATGCAAAAAATTGCTTTCAGAAAAGTTGCAAAATGCTACAGAAGCTAACAAATAGCAAAATACTATACACTAGTTGCAACAGAAATGTTGAAAAAAGTCTTTGAGGTTAACAATTTATTAGAAATGTTTTATAGTGGTATAAGATGCTCACAGAAAGAAAATAATGCATCAAAGTTAAATTTAATATCTGTCAAAGTATGATTATGACACATAACATATAAAACTAGAAAATGGCTTGAACATTTTCGCTGATATTTTAGTGGCAAAATCTACATTTTAAATACTAAGTGATTATGAACCTGCTTTTGAACCATAGTCTAGTAAACCATCTACTTCAACTAATTAGCAACACATTTACCAAACTACAGCAAATAAATGGTGCTTGAAAGGTCAACCAATACAGAAAATACCAAACAAAAGGTAGTCAAGAATGAGGCAATGTTGATTATTTTCTTTGACTGACATACAGTTATACATTACAAATTTCTAACAACTAGTCAAATTCAAAGAATATTATTTAAGTATTTGAAGCATTTGCATGCAGCAATTCACAGAAAATGACTTGAACTATGGTATGATAACTTACTTATTTTAAACAATGGTAAAGCAACTACTCATAATGCTCTTAGTGTGTATGAATTTTTTAGTTAAAAATTCAAGAAATATGTATCTGCAGACTATGTATACACATTATTAGACATTGAGTGTGACTTCTTTTTATTTTCATGGTTGAAATTGCCACTTTGTGGCCATTGTTTTAAGTCTATTCATGAAATAAAAGAAAATTTATTGCAAGTCTTAAAGAAGTTTCATGAAAATGACATTAAAATATATTCAAGGTTTCAAAAAAAAAAAAATTGGCATAAATATAATGTAGTCAGATGAGATTTACTTTGAAGAGGATGTAATAAATATTACTAAAAAAAATTTACACCATGATTTATGGAATCATTCTCAATGCTTTTGATCACAGTTTTACATACTGTATTAAAAAATTATAAATGTTACTGTATTAACAAAGAAATAAAATGGCAGAAAGTATATATAACAAAACATAAGGATATCATCAGAAAATATTTCTGATTCATTATTTATTTGGGTTAAAGTACAGTTTAGGGTCTCCCTTGGCGAAACTTGGCGGTACATGGATACCGATTTTATGCAATTCTTTGACTCATTATTTTGGCTTGCGAAGCGGCGATTTTTGCGCCAAAAATTGCTGCTACACAAAGCCAAAATAACAAGACAAACAATTGCACAAACTCGGTATCCATGTACACATCAACTTATTTTCACTTTAAAAAAATCCTCAAATTGCACAAAAATGGCATTGTGCACTCTTTTAACCTTATCCACATACACGTTGACCTATTTTCACTTAAAAAAAGATCTCAGAATTGCACAAACTTGCATTGCGCACTTCCTTTACTTTGTACACATCGATATATTTTCGCTTAAAAAGACAATGGAGCACCAAATTCTACAATATAGGCAAACAAAAAATACATAATCTCAATAAAATACATTTTAAACCAAACAATAAAATAACATAAAAAAGGAAAAACATGTTATGCATTTAAGCACTACGAAAAGCAAATATTCACTTACCACGATTTTCGAGTTCGCTTCATACACTCAGAGCCACGTAAAAATCTTTACGTGGCTCTGATGATCATACTCAATGACTCTCTGATCATACTCAAATGACTTTTTCCAAACCAGGTACCACTTTTGACAAAAAAAAAAAAAAAAAAAAAAAAAAAAAAAAAAAAAAAAAAAAAAAAAAAACAAAAAAAAAAAAAAAAAAAAAAAAAAAAAATAAAAAAAAAAAAAAAAAAAAAAAAAAAAAAAAAAAAAAACAAAAAAAAAAAAAAAAAAAAAACAAAAAAAAAAAAAAAAAAAAAAAACAAAAAATTCACATAGTGACCATCTGAATCTTCTTCCTACAAACCATCAAGTCCATCTAAACGGTTTTTATGTTCGACTAGACGCATATCCTTCCTACATACAGGACACTTATAATGGCTACTAAGTAAACCTTCATTTAAACACCAGTCAATTAAAGCTCTTTTCCCCTTTCGCTCCAAATCGTACAGAAACTTCAAATTAATATTACTACATTCGGCCATTCTACCGTCTAAAGAATCAAACTAACACATACCACAAAAACGCTTACGAAACATCCCACGATTCAAAATTTCTCAGAATCATGCATCCGATTACGTCACAATAGGGTTTTCATAACATTCAACTACTCAGGCTACCATAAATGAAACAACAACTTGGCGATAAATCAAACAACTTCACTATAATACAAGGGGTACCTGAAAGTCTACTCTACCCTTTATTTGTTCAAATTTTGTAATTTTCTCTTAAAATGATTATACATATAACACACTAACTTACTTCTAAGAGCTCTCTCAATCTGACATCTGTTTCTTGCTAGAATAAAAAATAATAAATAAATAGAAAAGATAAAAATCAACAAAATCTAAAGGCAATTTGTGAATTTATTTAAGCAACTAAATCATTTCTATCATTTAACTATGATTTAAAAATGCATAGCTAAGACAAACTAAGTGGTCACAGGATATCATTTAATGTTATATATATATAGATGCGTATGTGTGAGTGAGTGTATATGTGTAAGATAAGAAATGCATAAATCAAGGTATTAACTTTAACCTGCAATTCCCTTGTATATTTATTTTAATTAGCGTATTTCCCCTTTCTGAACTAAAGATAGTAAATACCTGTAATATATCGATCTGATCCACATAATTTCTTAATTAATCCATGCAATATGATTCTTGCATAAAATTCATGATGCAGATACTGGCATAACATTTCAACCAGTATTTGCAAAATAATGGTTAAACAGCCAATACTTGGAAAACAACTTCATACTTGGGAACTGAAACTTAATATTACCAATAGGGATAAAATTTAACTGAAACTAAATCACTCTGAATTCAACTTTTATCTTGGATTCATCATATTCTCTCTCTTGCTTTGTGACTGCAAACTTGCAAATGGCTGCTACTTCAGATGTACCTCAAATGTCTGATATAGTTCTTATGCAATAGATGCATTTACTGTGTCAATTTATTTGCATTTGCTTAAATATTTTTCAACAAGAATAAAAAAAATATTAGATCAGCATTGACTGCAAGTTTCTTAATCTTTTGTTCTATATTATTAAGTATATATAGCAAATTTAAATAAATGCTTATTATTTCTAAAAATAAATTACACATAAAATATAAACTAGGTCAAAATCTTCATAATAATTTACACTCATGCAAATAAGTGATTCTTTAACAAAATATCTGCAACCTTAAATTTCATTTATCCTATAATTAAAAGTTCTATATTTTTTGAAATGCAACAGTTTGAATAAAAAAAAACTCTATATACATTACAGCAAATTATATAAATCCTCAGATTCATATGAAATGCTACTTTTAGACTGACAAATTACTTAAACTATGATATGAACACATTTTTATGAATACATAAGAACTAACTTACTAATGTTTTAATCATACACAGTGATCTGAGAAGGCATTTCAGTTGCTCTCTTTTGCGATAACTGGCTAATATGCCCAAGCTAGCAGTAGTGAAATCTTGCTTTGTCTGTGCAAGCAAGCTGCAGGAAGAAAAAAAATATTAAAAAAAAAAAACCCTCAGAAATCTAGTGCACACAGAAACACAAAAGAGGAACTCTCACGAATTTTGAATTTTTTTTTTTTTTTTTTTTTTTTTTTTTTTTAATATATACATGAAGGAAAGGAAGGAAATTTTTCAATTTTTTAATAATTTAAACTCCAATTTCAATAAATTCATGAAATGCCATTTTTTCTGTTTATAATTATACACTAATATTTATATATATATTTTTTAGAATATACCCCCCCCCAAAAAAAGGCACATACCTGATACAGGACTTATTATGTTATTTACAATTTGTTGTATTACAGTAAATGTTATTGAAGATTTGCAGTATTGCAGTAAACAAGATGAAAATGAGAATTACTAGAATGTAGGTTTTGTAGGAATGCTTTAGTTTCTGAACTGACATAGTATTCCTGTGGAGAGGTTAACATCATAAAGTACTTATTCTTAATACTTAAGTTCTTTATAATGCTAGCAACAGGAGGTGTCCGAGTGATTACTAAAATAGCAAATTATGCATTATAATTTATGTCAATATGATTGATCTTTACAATTTCTGCATATCTCTCACTAACGTGCAAAGTGTAAATGCTTATGTGCCAAGATTTGGCAGATTTCAATGCACTAATAAGATCTGCATTTATAACCACAAATTTATTAAAAATTACAACTTTGCATTTATATGATTGTAGTTTATTGCCAGTTCCCTAAGTACAGCTTGTTCTGTAAAACATGGCAGTTTGGAAAACTATATAACAGCTTTCACAGTTATATAAAAATAAAAATAACTTTAAAAAAAGTTACTTAAAACTATTTGGCCTTCCAAGGAAGAATCTCCTTATACTTTGCAATATGTTTTGTTGGCATTTATACTATTAATAAACTCAGCAGAAGATATTTCTAATGCTGTATACTGGATACCTTCATGGTAAACTTCAAATTTTCTTATCTATATTCTATTGTTTGCATTAAAATTTAATTCAATAGTAAAATTCTGCGACAATATTAAATATGCAAAATTCTATTCCCCCTTTTTAAGAAGGATAATTAAACTCTAAAGATTTGCTTTTGCTTAGAAGGCAGCCAGTGGTAAAAACATTGAACACTAGTAGATCAGCCTGGGCTCAAATTCCTCAAATGGGGTAGCAGTATGCGAGTTTTCATCCCCTCATTTGTAACATCCATATCAGATAGTTTTCTGCGAGAATTCCTCCAAGAATGTGCCTGTCCATCTCCTTAGACAGAGAGCCATATTGTACATATGCATGAATAGACATTTATCAACACTAAAAAATTTTACTTGAATTTTTGATGGGCTTACATGGTTTACATACCACTATGACATATAAACAGATACTGAAGGCATTAAACTAATATCTGGTGGATTAAATTGTGATTTTTTATTTTTCTCAATTATTTTTAAAGAAAAAGTGGAAACAAATTACACTGAATTTATTAATCATCACGATCCTTTATACTACCTACAGCTACAAATTATTAATTTTTAATTTATGACTTGTATAAATCTTTTCCCCATGAAATTGAAAAAGAGAGTTATTTTGGTTAATGCGAGAATATTCATGCATTAACAGTAAACATATCTATATTTATAAATAAAATTTTTATTACCACAGCTGTACACATTTTTAAATAATTTCTGGGCCCTTTAATGAATGTTTAAAATGTAAAGAGTACCTTCATAAATGTTTGGTGTGATATTTTTTTTCTTTTTTGATTAAGCCTGCATCGTGATTTCCATGAGAGAAGCGCTTTTAGTAAAATTTCCAGGGGTACTGATTCCAATTCGTCTGCTACTACATTACACAGCACATCACATTACACAGCACTGTGATGGGTTTGTGCTTATACTATAAGGTTTGTGCTTATACTAATAGCCGATAGATGAAACTTTACAGGAGTCTGAAGTAATATCCTAAAATAGTATATAAGCAGTACTTGTACAGTCTTCATTTTTTCAAGGGATGCAGTGTTACTTTTCAAAGTATATTTTGTAACACTTCAACGAATTTTCGATTAAAAAACTAAATGACTTTAAAGTGAGCAATAGCAATTCTGTACGAAAAAAACATTTTTATCTCCAGCGCTCGAAACTCTGTATCGGAAATCCTAAAGATATGCTCATTTCAAAATTGTTTTGCGATATTGCTTTTGAATTGAATTTTATGGTTTGAGTATGCAGAATATGATTATTTTTTTAAAATAAGGTAACATACAAAATGTTAAAAAAATGCCCCTTTGGACATGATTTAAAACCTGAAACCTTTCAGATTTTTGTTTGTTTGTTTGTTATTGTAGTAGCAGTCATTTAGTCACTAATAGTTCATCAAGGATCACAAAGTAACATTTATCTTCTGCTAAACAGTTTTCATATGGGGTTCCACAAATTGCTCTTCATTGAGCCACATGCTTCAACAAGAGCTGTACATCATACTTTTTAATAATTTTAATCTGTAAATCTTGATTTATTATTTTATTTATTGTTTCTACAAATGCATTTAAAGATTTTGCAATTAGTTTCTGCTTCACAGATTTTCTTTTATAACCAATGATTTAAATTTGCAAACATTAGAAACAGTATACACCTTTTTCAGGTATTCGTTTGGAGTTTACTTTCCATGTAGAAGCAATGAGTGAAAGTTTTACCCTTTTCTGATTAATAATGTTACTTATTTTGCACTTAAGAAATTTTAAAATTATGCATTTCACAACATTTTTTGATTTATGGAATAGGGATATTTTCTCTTCAAAAAGTACAAAAATATATCCTTCAATCCATAGCTTGATTACATATGACATTCTGAAAGAAAAATATATTTAAAAATAGTAGATTATACTTCTCATTTCAAATTAAAAGCTGTTGGTAGATATTTTTATTCCGAAGCATATGCTTTTCTTTAAAAAAATATTCTTTACTGAAATAAATGTCTAAACATCCTCTGTAATGATGAACTTAGACTCCTCCCCCTCAAAAAGAAAGACTCATTGTCAGACATCGCACAAATAATTATTCCTATTTTGGCATTATAAACATCTTTTATTAATTATTTTAATAGTATAGATGACAATGGTGCAAATAATTATAAAACTAATCAGTTAAAATTATATTATAAATCATTTAGATTAAATTAATATTGTTATGCATTTTGTATTTAGATTGCTATTTTTAGTAAAATTAATTAAAATTGTTTTATTTCACTGTGTAATGCAGCACGTGACGAGTTTTAAGAGAAAGTTAAACCAGAAAAGTAAAAATACAGGAGCATGCGCATTTAATAAATAGATATCTCATAATTTAAATTGAAATAATGCAACTGTGTGTTAGCTGTAACTGTAATTTTACTCTTTTGCTTTCCAGAAACCTCGAGAAATTACAAGAAGCTTCTTGTGACATTAAAAAGCTTTTAAAAGCAGGAAAAAATCTCAGTTCAGTTGTTTACTAAGTTTTTATTGTTGATTGTAGTGAATCCGCGGTGAGATCGGATTAGCTTTCTCTGCACTTTGAATTGTGTTCCATTTGACATTTTAGTAGTTTAAAATATAACTTCTGTGTGATATTGTATGAATATCAATGAGGAAAAATTTCAGCATTTTGCTTCTATTTCTTGTGATAAGAATAACTTTTCATCAGACTTGTTCATTCAAACTATTAATACGAACCTGCACGCGCGCAACAATATAAAATACATCAGCAACATTGCGAAAATAAGGAATAATATTATTTTACTTTTGGATAAATTAGAGATCTGATACTAAGTGACAATTTTTTTAAAAACTAGTAATTAGCTAGCTTGTATGGATGATAAAGGAAAGAATTAATGTTTTAGAGAATGGCAACATTAGCCAGGTTATGTGATATAATTTAATGCAATCTAATTGGATCAGAAATACACTAATGTCTAAATTAGGGGGAGGGAAGTTTTAGTACAGATTTTGAATAGCTCTATTGATTCTAAGAAAAATCAGATCCCTCATTTTCAAAAAAGCAAATAAAAGTTGACCCCCCCCCCAAAAAAAATTGTTAAATTTTCTTTTAACGTATGTCTAATCATCTTCAAAATAAATATCACATTATTTAAAATCTACATCAATTTAAGATTGCTTTGTGAATGATTTTAAACCCAATGGAACCTGCAAAAAAAGGGGGATTCAGATTTATAAAATGCAGGTAGACCAGATTCAGATTTATGAAACACAGGCATGTCAGTGTTCCTCAGTTTGACATTTTTCTTTGTTCTGGAATAATTTCAGAGGCAAAAAAGTTAAGGATTCAAAGAGCTTAGGTTAAAGAATATTTATGATTTATCACTAATGTGCTGTATGTAACATTACAAATGACAGCTTGTATCACATTCTTTATAATTCTTTAAATATAGTATTTATCCTATAAACTCAAACAAAACATACCTTCTGCTTTGAACACATATTCCACAAGCTTCTTCCAGGGTTTTTTGCATCTCTGTCACCCGCTGCAGTTCTTCTGCAAGTGCAGATTGATTTTGCAAGATCAAATCAGATAATTTCTTAGAAACCTAAGAAGAAAGAAGCCAATTGTTTGGCAAATTATTACCTAAGAAAATGCATTTCCTATTTCAGTGTATCTTCATTTACGAATATTCCAAAATGCTCTTAAATTATTCAGAATAACTCAGCATTTAATTTTATCTCATGAATATAATTTTATTTCCTTGCAAAATGAGAGATTATTTCATTTCTCTGCCTCAAATAAAATTTTAATTATAAGAAAAACTGGTCTGAAGCAAACTTTTCAGTTTACAACAGATATGAAATAAAAAAAATATATCAAAGTACAGCTCTATTTTACTATACACCAAGCAAAAAATGTTTGTTTGGTTATCTTTGTCTCACAGTTACTGTTGCATTTATAAATAGTAATAAATACAAGTACTTAATAAGAAATTTTCTGAGAAAGAACAAAAATCTGCATGACCAATATTTATATTTTTACAAGTTCAGCAAAAAAATGACGGCTAAATATAAAGCATGTAAATTTGCACATTTTAAAACACATATATGTTGTGTACATACTAAGTTGGCTGTTGCAGCATGTATACTCAAGAATATGCCAAAAACACACCAATTGTATGAAATATTGAAATCTGAGTTGGGCTTGATCAGAAAGTATCCTTTAGTTCTACAAAGGTATTAACTCCAATTTAAATCAAAGGTCTAATACAGAAAACTACTGTGAGGGGGAATTGCTCTTCGCCTTGACTCGTATCTTATGCAAACAAGCCTAAAGATTCTATGACAAGTTTCTACTACATTCAATTATACTGAAATACAGTCAAAAGTCGTTAATTCGGACATCCATAATCCGGAATGATCTATAATCCGGACCTCAAAGCTAAAAACTTTCTGCGCATGCGCCGCGATGCGTGTGCGTAAGACCTTTACGACTGTGCATATGCATTTGCGCAAGCGCAGAATACGTTTTCGCCTGCGCGTTTAATGTATAACGGACGGTATAAGCTAAAATTATCTATTTCCGTTAATGTTGATGATCGCGTTCTTCCTTAATCTTATTATTTTTTGCAGACTGTAAGAGCAATTTTATAAAGTAAACTTGAACTTTAGATTATGTCAAATATAATTTCCAATGCTAGAGCTCCCAAAGGATCTACAAAACGAAAGTATGTTTCGATGTCCATCAAACAAAAAGTGGAATTGCTGCTAAAAATGGATAAAGACATGAAGAAGGTGACAGAGAGGTTAGTGAAAACGAAAAAAATTTCGATTGACAAGTTAGTCGGTATTCGGCACAGCAATTACGGGGCTTGAACAGCGGAACTTTGTAACTGAACAAGAAATTATGTCTGTTTATAGAATTAAAGAGAAAGTATTATCACATAAAACGAAGCGACTTAAACAACTTACAATGAAAGAAATGGTTAATAAAGTAAACAAATAAATATTAAGCTTTTTTTTTTTTTTTTTTTTTTGTAAATTTTGATACCCTTTAGATCATAATTGTTTATTATTTCATAAATTACAGCTTCATATTTTTAATTTTAGAATTTCTGCATGCCATCTTACGAGATTTAAACTGATGATCTATAATCCGGAAAAATCGATAATCCGGAATCGCCGAAGTCCCGACGAGTCCGGATTAACGACTTTTGAATGTATGTATATAGCAATATGTAGCAATATGCAATGGCAAATTATTTCCCACTTTGAATTTTAAATGACTTTTTTTAACTAAGCTGGCAGAAGAGTACAATTTAATTTACTTTTCTTGAAACTGATATGCTTTTATTAAGTTTTAAAAATTTATAAGGTAAATTTAATAAGGTTCTTTGGCTTACACCAAAAATATACTGTTTTATTTTTCGACAGGCTGAAGGGACAGAATTTATTTATTTAAAACTAAGCTGACAGAAGAATGCAGTTTAATTTACTTTTCTTGAAACTGATATGTTTTTATTAAGTTTTAAAAATTTATAAGGTAAATTTAATAAGGTTCTTTGGCATACGCCAAAAACAAAACAGAATTTACTTTTATTTTAACTAGTTATACTGTTTTCACTGCATTTTGATTGAAAAATACTGCATTACACCATGATATCAAAATTTATGCTGGGGAAAGACAGGGAATTATAGATCAGGCACATATGTATGACCAGAATGTGTTTAAGAAGATTCGGACAAGCTTAAGTGGAAGAAGTAGTCTAAGATTAACAAACAACATTTATTAGAAATAATAAACGAGATGGGTTGAACTAGTTGTCTACTGAAAGGTGCTACCTTAAATGAGCAATTAAGCCTTTGAAGGGTGGTATATAAAATAATTTAAAGTGTGGCAAAATTTTTTATGAATTGTAACTTATGGACCCTAAGGACACAAAATTGAGACTTGAAAAAAATCTAGTGAAATCTTGAATTGTGATGGTCGTTATACATTTTATACCCATGCATTTTTTCCCCAGGTAGCTGACAGTTCTAATTTTTCATCTATTTTTACATACTTTTGAAGTGCATCTATAGAGATGGGTCCTTGAATATACTTATATAAGTCTGAAGTAAAAAACTTTTAAAATTTTGTTAGAAATTAAAAATTTTAAAACCACAATTTATGTTTTTTTTGGTACTTTGATGATGCCACCCAGCTGAACACTTATGTAAAATATGAGTATAAAGCTTTCAAAAGGGATTTAAATATCATTACTCTATGAAAACAAATTAGCAAATGTAACACTGCATGTGCAAACAGTATCATGCCGTAATTGAACTAGTACAGTCAAAATTCGTTAATTCGGACACCCATAATCCGGAATGATCTATAATCCGGGCCTCAAAGCTACAAACTTTCTGCACATGCGTCGCATTGACGCATGCGCATAGGCGTTTACGCATGCGGGTAAGCCCTTTATGGCTGCGCATATGCGTGTGTGCAAGCACATAATACGTTTACGCATGCACGTTTAATGTATAACGCACCATATAAGCTAAAATTATCTAATTATCTATTTCAGTTAATGTTGCAGATTGCGCTCTTCCTTAATCTTCGAATTGGATCCGGCTTATTATTTTTTGCAGACTGTTAGAGCAATTTTATAAAAGTAAGCTTGAACTTTATTATGTCAAACAGAATTTCCGATGCTGGAGCTCCCAAAGGATCTACAAAGCGAAAGTATGTTTCGACGTCCATCAAACAAAAAGGGGAATTGCTGCAAAAAATGGATAAAGGCATATCCTTTGTTTCTCTAACCATTCCAAAATCTGTTTATCAATTTCACGCTGCTCTGTGGCTGGGGGGGGGGGTTACGCCGTGGCGCGCAATGAATTGGAAATTGATCTGTCAGCACTATCCTTATCTTCAGGGCCAGATATTTTTATTTTATTTGGCTTCTAATTCCTTACTAAATGTAGTATTTCATCTCAATGTACTCCGTCTTTGATATGATTTAAATCAAATTCCTCGTCATCATAATTCGCTTCTGATAGTGAAGAAAGTGACACAGAGGTTATTGAAAATGAAAAAATTTTGATTGACAAATTAGTCGGTATTCTCGACACAGCAATTATAGGACTTGAACAACGGAACTTTGTAACTGAACAAGAAATTATGTCTGTTTATAGAATTAAAGAGAAAGTATAAGGAATAAAAGTCACATAAAAGGAAGCAACTTAAACAACTTACATTGAAAGAAATGTTTAATAAAGTAAATAAATATGAAGCTTTTTTTTTTTTTTTTTTTTGTAAATTTTGATACCTTTTAGATCATAAATTGCTCTTTATTTCATAAATTATGGTTTCATATTTTTAATTTTATAATTTCTGCATGCCATCTTACCAGATTTAAACTGATGATCTATAATCCGGAATCGCCGAAGTCCCGACGAGTCCGGATTAGCGACTTTTGACTGTATAATGTTACAAGGAGATGTAACTCGGGCAAAAAATAAAAAATTGAAAAATGAAACACTACGACTCAGTTGAAAAATTATGTTGCATTTTTGAAGTTATTATATTGTAATCTTTAAATAATATATAAAAAGAGCATGCTTCATTCTATTATAACAAGAATAGTCCTTCACACTTTCAATTATTGGGCCCCATAAGAGCCCCTTTTTAAGTTTTTGTAAATATAGGTCGTAATAAATCATGTTGTTCAGGAAGAAAAGCTGTTAAACGATGTTATAATAAGCCCTTATTTCAATCAAAACTAAAGAAAACTCAAATATTTGTCCCCCCCCTTTTTCCCCATCCAAAGATAAATGTTTTGTATCTAAAACTGGCCTCAGAAATATTTTCCCTCCTTTTACCAGCTGTGAAGACTTATTTTGAAAACCACGTATTTGTATCTCAACCCAGGGGGAAAATTTCTTGTGTTCCCTAGTTTCTCATCTGAAATTAACAAAGATGATACTCTAAGGCAGTGGTTCTCAACTGGTGGTATGCAAGAGTAAAACAGGTAGTACACAAAGAAACAAAGTATTTTTAACTATTAAATTCAAAAATCTCATGAAGAAAAAGAACAATTGATAGAAATTCCCTGTGATCGAACACTAACTGAAGATTCCAAAAATAACACACTTGTTAACTTTTGGCTGAACCTAAAAAAAGAATTGAAAGGCGTTTCAAACAAAGCTGTTAAATTTTTATTGCCCTTTTTTGCCCAACCGATTTGTGCGAACAGTATTTTCTTTCGCATTTTATTTGAAAAAGAAATACAGAGAAAATTTTAAAGTGGATCCTAATTTACGGGTAAAATTTATGTGAAATAAGACCAGACATAAGAAATTGATCTCTCTTAAACAGGCTCAAATTTCACACCAAATTTTGGAATTAATGCATCTTAAATTTTGATAATTAAAATGGTAAACAATTTTTACAATGTGTGTACACTTAATATAGCCAATAGCTTGCGCAAATGGCAAAATATATTTGTTTTTAATATTTATAATCAGAAATTGAAAAATAATCATTGTAAAATGTAGTGGTGGTACTAAAATGTTTCAATTTTTGTTTAGATGGTACACATTAGTCAAAAGGTTGAAAACCGCTGCTCTAAGGCATAAAAGCATGCTTTAAAATCAGTAGTTTCCTGTAACAGACAGACCTAAAGTGCACTTCTATTTCTAATGTTTGTAAGTGAGCTTTCATTTTGTGCAATCTTATCACAGCATCTTTGTGGAGATCTCGTGACCCCCCCCCACATGACAAATTAACTGTCAATCACCTCTTATCATTTTTGCTGCATGCTACAATTCTGAAAAACATGAAGCGGCGGGTGTCTTCCAGGGCTACAATTGTATAGCATTTTGAGGCTACACAACAATATTGAAATCTATGAGTCTTTATCCAGGAAAGAGTTTAATGATGAAATTATAATTTTAGCTAAACAAAAATGAGAAACTCGAGTGGAGTAAACAAAGAATAAAAAGAAACTAAAATACTTTTATTCATTCTTAGCACAGGGTCAATAAACTTTCCATCCTTCAAAAATATAATATTGAATCCTAAACAAGTAGTAGATGATTCGCCTGTAACTTGTTATACTGATGGCAGCAAAATTGATGACAAAGTTGGTCTCACATTTGTTGTCTTCAAAAATGGTCTTGAGTTTAAGCACTTTCAATTTAGAATTAGAGATGAATGTATCATTTTTATAGCTGAACTTTTGTGCTTAAACTTCGCCATCAAATGGATCTCTGAGCAAAATAGTGCTGTTTCAGACTATCTCATCTGTACTGATTCCCTATTATCTTTGAAGACCCTAAAATGTATTTCTTCCTCTAATAATATCATCATCGAAAATCAAACACAAAAACCTAAAAGATAAAAATATTTCAGTTTCATTTTCATTTGTTCATGATCATACAGGTGTTGCTGGGAGCGAATGGGCCAATTTTCTTGTAAAGACTGCCACCAAGCATGAAATTGACACTTTCGTCAATATCCCTAATTCCTTTTATAAGAAGGTCATGTATGAAAGTATTGTGAAGCTGTATAACCAAGAATTCATTAGCTCTAATAAAAGGAGCTTAACTAAAAGATTTTTCTCTTCCATCAAAATGAGATAGTCATGTCATCACTTACCCACAAACTATAAATTGACCCAATTTCTTACTGGCCACAGAAATTTCAAAAATTATCTGTGCAGATTTATGTTGAGCCCAGAGTCTGTCTGTGATAAGTAGCATTGGTGGTGAGGAAAATGTGGAACATGTGCTTCATCTATGTTCTAAATATGAGAGAGAAAGAAAACTCTTGAAACTGGGACTGAAAAACTTTAATATTAAGTGGCCTACAGAATTTTACCAATTTATTTCTGAGAGAAGTGCCTTTAACAATTTTTGTCAATTCATTGTAAAATTTTGTTATACTTCTTATTTTTTTTTTTAGATTTTCTCTTACGGTTTAATTTGTATTCTGTTTCATACTTATTTCTGTAACTCCATGTGATACTGTGTGGTACATTGGGAACTCCTAGTGTTTCTTTAAAAAAAAAAAAACTTGTAAATTAATCATAAACAAACCATTACATCACAAACAATTATAATATAAAGAAGTTCTGTCATCTCACAAAGAAGCCCGGTGCTGTCATCTCACAAAGAAGCCTGGTGCTGCCATCTATTGGCGTGGTACCCTCAGTATGGACGCCAGTATATTTTATATACCAGTCTTAAAAATCATATAAATAATCTTCTTTTAATTGTGAGTTCTGACTGAAATGCAGTAAATATATAAGATTCATCATGTATATGTCATATATTTGAAGATTTTGAATTTTTCCCCCCTCTAATAGAATTTATGAATTGTCAAATATAATACTTTGAAAGAAGGTACATTAAGTTCATAAATACAAAATATTGAGCACTCATAGGGAATTGCTGCCATTTAGAATCAAAAGGAAACACTAGAAACTTACAAGTACAGCTTTTAGTATATAAAAATCAGCATTTTTTAGGAGGTTAAAAAATTGAGGTTTAAAGGGTTAACTGTATGGCAGATAGTAATTAAAACACAAAAATAATACTTTAAAAACAAATTCTTTGCTTTTTAAACAATAATTCATGAGGCAGACATGCTAAAAGAGAAGCTACATACTTTGACTAATATAATAACATACTCCACTTTTTGTTTACCTAGATTTAGTAAAATACATAGAGCAATTTACTTTAAAGAGGCGATAGAAAAAATTTCATAAAAAACTGCAAACTTCAGTAAAGATAAAATTAAGCTCCAGGATAATTTAAAATATAAATTCTGATTAATAATAACTTAAATTTCACTGAATTCCTATCATAAAATTATTTCTGTTACATTAATATGCCAGAAAATCATAGACATACATCCAGTGAATATATTTTGTATTTGAAACATGGATAAATTCATTCACACTCAAAAATTACTAAATTTATGCATAATTCTTAAAACATTTTATCTACACCATGCATGAATTTTTATAATACACAGAAGTACGAGGCGTATTTGCAAACTAAGTACCGTTTTGAAAAAAAAAAATAGTAAAACAATTTTTTTTAATCCAATTTTATTTTTACATGAAAATACATGTCTTAAACTATTTTTCAACATAGTTTCCACCAATGATCAAACACTTGTCATAGCCGGTGACCAGTTTTTGTATACCATCGTCAAAGAAACTTCCCGCCAGTTTCGATAACAACGACTCCACAGCATTTTTCATGCCATCGTCAGATTCAAAGGGCTTGCCACCAAGCTCGCGCTTCATGTGCAGGAACAAGTGATAGTCGGACGACGCCAAGTCCGGGCTGTACAGCAGGTGATCTGTGTATGAAATGAAATGTCGAATTAACGATTGAGTGACACCAGCAGTATCGGGCTGAGCATTGTCATAGAGCAACACAATTCCTTTACTGAGCATTCCTCTTCGTTTGTTTTGAATGACACGCCTTAGTTTTGTTAAAGTCTCACAATATCGTGCCAAATTAATGGTTTCACCTCTGGAAAGAAATTCTGTAAGCAAAATGTCTTTCCTATCCCAGAAGACAGTGCACATGATTTTTTGTGATGACATTGTTACTTTGAACTTTTGTTTTTTCAGAGAATGAGTGTGTCTCCACTCCATCGATTGTTGTTTCGATTCTGGTGTGAAATGACACACCCAAGTTTCATCACCTGTCACAATTTGGTTTAAAAAGTTTTCTCCCTTATCACTGTACCGCGAGAGAAATGTCAGGGCACTACCAAGTCGCTTTGTCTTGTGAACATCAGTGAGCATTTTTGGAACCCATCGGGAACACAGTTTGCGATAATTCAAGTGGTCAGACACAATTTCGAACAAAACAGTACGTGAAATTTGTGGAAATGCCTCTGAAAGAGTTGCCATTGTGAAGCGTCTGCTCTCATGAATTGCTTCATCAACTTTCCTTACCAAATCATCGGTGACAACAGAAGGCCGACCACTTCGAGCCTCGGCGTGGACATTTGTTCGACCTGCATTAAACATTCTTAGGCACTTTCTCACCATTCCATCACTTATCGCGTATTCACCGTAAACTTCTGTCACTTGACGATAAATTTCGGACAGTTTAACATTCCTTGTGTTCAAAAATTTAATCATGGCACGAATCTCACAGTCAGCGGGAGAACTTTGTCTTAAACATTTTGAATGTGCACAGCAAACTGAAAACACAACATAGAGCAACCAAAATGGCGACAATTGAAAGTCAGTGAACAAGAAAGACTCGTGCGCATGCACAGGATGCCTACCACAGCGCTGCGACGGCGCTAGAATGAAACGGTACTTAGTTTCTGAAAACGCTACATATATATAATTGAGTTAAATAAAGTGTGACAGAAACAGATACATTACCACATGTAACTGGGATGCCAGTTGCACTCTGTCACTGTGAATTTCATTTACGTCTGGCACATCAGGAATTTTCTGTTTACAGTAAAAGGAACAATTTATTAAACTATTTTTAATTATGACATTAAAATGATTGTTTAATTACGACATTAAGTCATAACACTTAATGTCATAATTAAACAATCATTTAAAAAGAATGCAAATAGTTGTATTTAAAATACTGTGTATAAATAAACTATTTAAGAAAATATTACTCTTAGCTTGTATTCACTGGCATCAAAAGTTTCATCAGAAAAGAAAATGTCTTCAATTGAATCGAGGATTTCTTGCTCAACTTCAGGATCATTTAAACTTTTACTTGGTGTTTCCTTTTATAGATAATAAAAATATTAATACATATATAGAAAGAGAAGAAAAGAAAGAAAGATGGGGGAGAAGGGAAAGAAGAAGAAAGAAAGATCATTTTAAAATAAAATGCAATATTTTATTCTGAAGCGAATACATGCACACATATCCATTCCTAAATCAAATTATTTTATCCCACCTCATCTGCAAGATTAAAGAAAATTATGATAACAGTTTAGAATTAATTGGGTCCTTTGGAAAGGTCTATGGTTTTTGACGATAAATATAAATAAAGCAGTTTAAAAACATAAGATAAATTTCACTGAATCACCATTTGTTCTATGATTTTTTTGCCATCTTTAAGGCAAATGGAAAATCCCTTCTTTAAAAATGTCTGAAGTTAATGTGTAAGGAAGTTCTTGAAGTGCGGTTTGATAGTCTCCGAAGAAATGAACTCCAGGCTAATCAGAGAATTTGAAAAAAAAAAAAAAAAAACCTGAGTGCATTGAAAATCTGAGGGAACAAGGTCTGGTGAATATGGGGGCTGACACAAAACATCCCAGCCATTTACAATAAGTTTTTATCTGGCATTCATCAAAATGTGGGGCTGAGCATTGTAATGATGGAAGACAGCCTTTTGATGATTGGTCAATGCTGGGTACCTTGTTTTGACTTTTGCTTTTAGAACTGCCAACTGAGAACCTTATTTTTCTGAATTAGTTGTTATTTATTACGCTAATGACTATTTCCCACATATGGTCTTATTAGAGTGCTGAATAAATAAATTTCCACATATAATTAAGGTTCATCCATGGCCAGCAACACACATTTTGGCAGCCGGATATATGCAGTCTGGATATATGTGGGTTCAAAATTCTGCTGTTAGCTGAATATCTAAATTCTAAAATTCCACTTTTTAGCTGAAGTCTGTAATCATTGCCCAGTGCAATGTCAATGTAAAGAGTTACTCTTTGGTATTCAATTACTTACATGAAAAAAAATAACAATAAAATTGTTTAGAAATCACTGCACGAGTCACTTCTAAAGCCACAGTGCATTGATAGTCATACAGTGATGAAAGCAAAAAATAGTAAATGATGATTAGTCGGGTTGGTATCAGTGCCGAGGTGAAGTTACGAATCGGGACTTTTGACATGTTTTTTATTATGAAAAAATATCAAACACAAAAATATAAAGCATTAAATTTCACATATTGAACATCCAGATTCCAGACTCTGAACTCTTCAATTCTGAAAAATGAATGAATGCTGTCAGTAGCATGCTTTTTACCTCAGCAAAATTAACCAGAAACTGTTTTTTTTTTTTTTTTTTTTTTTTTTGCATTTATGAGGATTTTCAATCTTTTTAACTTTACAATTTGACAACATGAAATATTTCCAAAATACTGTTGATATATTTCAAAATATCTATTTTATATTTGAAAGAGAGCCAAGCATACTTAATTCTTACATATGCTTTTTATAATTATGTAACACTGACATAAATTTTTCATGTGTATAAATATTTACAGCAAAATATTTAATAACAAAAAGACTGCAGGATTATAACTACTAGATTTTATATCACATGTCTGTAGTTATGAAATACACTAGAAAAATCTGAAATAATGTAATTTTTATTTAAACTACAATTTAATAAAAGTGGATATTCTAGCATTAAATACTTTGAAACTCACTTTTTCTCGTGTGATCACTGCTTCCTCTGGTTCATATGTTTCAGGTTCAGGTATGTCAACAGATGAACGACTAGCCTTAAAAAAAAAAAAAAAAAAAAAAAAAAAAGAGTAATTCACTTTTTAATTCAAGTAAGAGGTATATGAATGTTTATACATCATCCAATCTCTGGAAATCTTATACTTAGCTTCTGATTTTGTACTAATGACTGCATAGCTAAAAGTTTTCGAGAGCCCTTTATATTTAGTTCCTCACAAAAGCCATTAGATTATAAATTGCATTTATTCCATCATTTGGTCTGAGGTAGGGATTGGGTTAAAACCTGGGATTTATTTTATAAAAAGAAACTGTATATTATTTTCAAGAGCATAGAATTCTAAGGCTGGAAAAGCAGCAAAAGAAATAATGATAACATGTTGCAGTTAAAATCATGTAAATAACATTTATAACTAAAAAAGAAAGAAAGAAAAGAAATGAATGTCTGTCTAAATTATATTTATTATCAGTTTTTCTTCTTGAAGTCATTTGTAACTGCAGTCAGCCTTTTCCATTTTAAGAAGCAGAGTTGCTATCTTAAACATTGCTGAAAATTTTCAGCATTTATCAAAAACTGATTTTCAGGAAAGGATAATACGAGAATATGCTTACAATTCACAATGTTTATTTCATAAAATGAAAAATTGTGTTTTCACACATTTTCTTCCTTCCGTACTCATTTAATCAACTCGAAAAACAAATGCTTTATCTAAAAAAAAAATTTGTTAAAAAGAATAAATACCAATTTTAAATCATACAAAGCTTTACACAAGTATGCAATACATATAAACCATTACAATCAAATTTAAATAAATCAAAACTGCAGGAAAAAAATAAGTAAAAATTAGACTTATTGAAGAAGCTAACATTAATGTCAAATTTTACATATTGACATTTAATTCAATTTATTGAAGTTCTGCTGTGATTTAACCTGTTGCACACTCATCATAAATTAATACTGAAACCATAAGAAAGACATGAAAACAATTTCTTTTACATATTAATTGCATAAAAATAATATAACCAAAAAGTATATATCACATTTATTTAAGCAGAAAAATTTTAAACTTAAAGTCAGATATAGAAGCACTTCCATAGGAGGGAAGGGAGTGAATACAAATTATTGGCTTAAACTGGGCACCCATTCCCTTAAAATGCACACTTCAAGTCCCTCCCACTTTTTTAAATTTCAATGAGCCTGACTCACATGGCAGTTCTTTTTTTTTTTTTTTTTTTTTTATATGCAAAGTTCATAAATTTCTCCTTTTTTTACATGTAATTTCATAAATTTATTCTTTTTTATATGTAAAGTTCAAAAACTTAAATAATTTACAAGCAAAAGAGCTGAAAAGCCAAGTTAAAATAATTAATGGACAGAAAAACTTTTGAAAAAATTTTACACTATAACAATTATTTTTACCGTGAATTATACCCAACTAGGAGGCCTTTGACTGTCAATTCTTATTTTTTTCGATTATTTGTTAAAAGAGTACTTCTTAAAATTTTAAACAACTATGCATTACTTAAAGTAATTATTAAGCCGCTTTCCTTGTATCATACTCAAGTGCCCGCACCATAATCACTACAACTGCTCGCAGATTTTCTTAACAGCACTGTATACGAAACATTCACCAAGTTCAAAATATGAGTGAAAAACTGTTACCATAATTAGATTTACAGTAAAAAAAAAAAAAAAAAAAAAAAAAAAAAAAATCTATATAACAATATTTATTTTAAAAACACATCTCTCACATCCTTATGCACATATTTGACGAAATTTAATAATCAGAAGTACTTACTTGACGAAGATTAACTAAAGATTTAATTTTCTTAGTGAATTCCATCGCAAAAATTCATAGTTTCTTAATTATTATACAATTAAAATGAAAAGTAATCGAAATATTCATGACGTTCTAAAGAAATTAGTTTAAATTACTCAATTAAAGATACTTAGTATATACGCGCAAATGAAAATTCCGTAAGTTGCATTCTAAAAACTCAAGTTTGGTAACTCTTATTTACTCCTTGATTGTTTTTGTAGCAGTACAGAGCAAACTTACGGCAAATTTGTATTGCCAAATCTAAATTTATAAATGCAAGAGGGTAACTCCCACTCCCAACAAGAAGGTTAGAATTCCCTGACTCCCAATACAAATGACTTTGCAAGGCGTTTATTGTCAATGAAATACTGGGTAATGTTCACAGATTTTCTCGTTAATTATCATGAAGTATAATTGGAAGTAGATTTTATTCAATTATAAGCAAATTAAAGTGCGAATAGCCTCTTATGGACGTCGAAGTTAATTAACTCTATTTTTCATTAGATAATGCGCCGAAACTGACCCAACATTGTTTTAGATGAACTGTCCGAAATTTTACGAACATTTTAAAGGGCTATTCTTTTGGCTTCGGACATACCAAACAATTTTAAGACTGTTTATTCCTTAATTGTGATTTTTGACAGATTGGACTTTACATGCCACAACTCAGCCAGCATAACTAAAACAAACAATTTTAAAATAGTGTTCAAATATTAATTCAGAAGTTAAACAACAGAAATCAGTTTTATATTTATAAATTTTCACAGGACTAGTTTCGATGGTTCTACCGAACCATCATCCTCAGCTGCCATAGCGCAAATGAATGACATAAGATATTGTGATTAGATTAGATCAGACAAGAATGATTGAACAGGATTAAGCTACTGGCGCCCTCTATTGAAGAAACAAGAGATTATAGAGACAGGGGTATATTATATTTTGCTACTCATACAGCCCTCTCAATCACTGTGCAGAAGTTACATAAAATTTTCTATTTTTAGACTTTTTGTAACTGGATGCATACGTCTAGAGTCAATATTTGTAGGAATAAATTTGAGACATTTTTTATCAATTTTTATGATAGGAATGAAATGAAATGAAATTTTACACTTTTCATATCTTGCCATAACACTCGAAATTTAATATTCGGTTTGATTTCAAGATCTCATGCACTGGCTTATGTACTATGAGTACCTGCGATTTTATGTGTGATGTTTGTTTTATTCTATGACAAAGGTTGTTGAGTATATTAAGGGTGGTGTTGCAGTTTTCCTCTAGTTGTCTTCGTGTAGATCCTTGGGTTATGATGACAACATCGTCGGCGAAGGTAACAATCCGTGTGTGATTTGGCCACTGATGATCGATAATATTATTAAAGGTGATGTTCCAGAAGTTCGCGCTCATACACAACCCTTGGGGGCCATCTTCTAGTTCGTTTTCTGGCGATTATGGTACTGTCGTAGATTACTACGCTTTGTCTGTTCTTGAAATAGTCCGTTAATTGTTAGGCAGAGGTTTCTCTTGAGCATTGCATCTCTCTGAGGGCCTGCTTAACAGCTGGCCGGCAGAGAGAGTCGAATGCGTTTTGCAGGATTTGCAGGACAAGACACAGGAGAACCGAATGCTTTTGTTTGCTTGTATTTGGGAGACTGATATATCTGTTGCGTGAGTGGTTGAGCTTTTGTATTTAAATCCATACTGATTGGAACTTATTCTATTGTCTTTATATATATGGTAGTTTATTCTATTGACCAATAGTTGTTGAAGAAGCTTTCCCATGGCTGGTAGTAGATTTATTGGTCGGTATGAACAAAGATCCTCTGTTTTCTTTTCTTTTTTTTTTCGTTTGTTTTTCTTCGAGAACGGGATGATTTGTCCGTGCTTGAAGCAGTGCGCAAGCAATTGTTTTTAAGACCTTTATTGTAAAGGTTTAGGAGTATTTTTGGGCTGACTTTACAGATTATCTTTAAAACTTGATTTGAAATCCCATCTAGACCAGGTGCCTTCGCATTGTTGAGTATTTCGACGCAGCAATTCCACTATTTGTAAATTGACTGTCATCTGGGGTGCTTGGTGGATTAATGGACTTCTTAATTTTCGTTGCTCTGGGGTGTCTTCGTCGCTGTTGCCCTGTGGAAACATATAGTCCAGGATGTTGTTTAAGACTTGTACCGTGAGGTTGTATTGTTGTGCATATGGATACGATTTGGGGTGCGTATCTGCGTCGGTTTGAAAATCTTTGAAGTGGCTATTTTTTAGAGTGATCCATAAATATTCTGGTTATTGGTGAAAAAGGAGGTCCAAGATTTGAGTTTAGCTTCCGTGATTTTCTACTTAAAAACTGCACTTTGCCTGCTGTATTTGGCCCACCCTGTTTTGCGATCTCCGTCGTTTGTGTTGGACTTTAATCTTCGTCTTAGCGCTCTGGTCGCTTGACGAGATGCACGCAGTTCTTTGGTCCGCCAGTTAGCTTTTGTTTCGTTGGTGGCTGACTTTAGTTTGAAGATGTTTGAAGAGCATTCTTGAATAAGTTGTGTGAAGTGTATTGCATATGTATTGACGTCTTCTCTGGATTTGGTCTGGGTGATGGTTTGAAGAATGGATTAAACTTTTGGACTAAATAGTTTGATAAAATGTCTGTGCTGCTACTAATTCGAAAGCGTTTCGTCTGTATGTTTTCTATTTTCAGGGCAATTTCAAAAGTGATGTATTTGTGGTAGGAGAAAGAATCGTTTTCGCTGATCTTCCTGTTCTAGAATTTGTGGGTTAGATGGTGTGTACTGAGAGTCAGATTGGGTCATCCTCTTACATTGATTGTGGTGAAAGTGGGTAAGTCCTCAGGGTAGTTGTGATGGATTAGATTGTTTGAGTAAATACAGTCCTCCATTTCTTTTTCTCTTGGGATGATACGTGGATAACCCCACAGGCTGTTCTGTGCGTTGAAATCACCTTTGATCACGTGAGGGATGTTGCTATTGTGGAGAGTCGTCTTTATTTCTTGGAGGGCGTTATCAAGGTCTTCGATAGGCGACGCATAGGCGTTGGTGAGGTACATTTGGGGTTCTGCAATAGCAATGGATATGGTGACTACATCTTTGTGTGCCTTGATAAAGAGTGGAGTCCAGGACTTATTGAGTGCAATCATGGCTGCTCTCGGGATATTGTAGCATCGGTGTCCTACCAGGATACGACGTTCCAATTTAGTGTTAGGTTTCTTGGGAAACCTTGCTTGCAGTATGGCTCTTGTACGAAAATTATGTCTGTAACAGACCTATTTAAGTGTAATTGAAATATTTTATTCACGCCATGAACTCATGAACTGTAACCGAACTATTTTATTTAAACGACATCTCGTGGCGATATGAAAAAACGTCAGTCGAACTCCAGCCGCCATGATGTTAGTTTACTATGTCTGTGTATTCAACTGCTTGATGTTCCATTTGGTATATGTTTCATTTTTATGTATATTTCTTTTGTTTGTAACCGTTCCTGTGTGCTCTGTTAATAAATCCTCTTAAAGATAGCCGGCATTAGTGTCTATTGAGGAATGGGTACATCACATTGGCCCCGTGGCAACAACAAACAAAAGAAATATACATAAAAATGAAACATATACCAAATGGAACATCAAGCAGTTGAATAACAGAGACATAGTAAACTAACATCGTGGCGGCTGGAGTCCGACTGACGTTTTTTTCATATCGCCACGAGATGGCGTTTAAATAAAATAGTTCGGTTACAGTTCATGAGTTCATGGCGTGAATAAAATATTTCAATTACACTTAAATAGGTCTGTTACATGTCATGATATTGCTCTGATATGAATCGCATTAAATTGTCCGTAGCTACCTTTGAACACTGAAGGTTAATATGCAGAGCTTTAATTCCGTTTTGACGATTAGACTAATGGAAGAATGCTGTGGGATGATTTTCTATGATATTAACGTTGTTTGGAGGTTGACTACTCATTGTATTGCATTCTGCTCTTGATTCTCAAAACTTCTTCTCTGTAGGAAGCGCAACAGTTGATATAAGTGGGATGGTCACACTAATATTTGGACCCTAAATGCTTGTTGTTTATTTCGAAGTTTATGCAGTTGGGGCTATTAGATTTACATTCGCTCTTCTAGTGTCTGCCACCACAGTAAGCGCAGTGTGGATGATAACTGCAATTCTTAGGGCGATGGCTCAACCCTTGACAGTGATAACATCTGCGGGCACCTATAAATTCTGTAATTGGTTCTACCACCCGAAGTGGACAGAAGTGGTTCACACATTTATGGAATGAAACAGTTTTACATTCTACAATTTATTTGATTGTCTTGTATTTGTCCTTGAGTTTAAACAGTGTCTTGAAATTGGAGATATTGATGTTCTTAGCTTTTCCAAGTGCGGTGCTTACTGCTTCAGCTGCTGCATGTGGCAGGAGTTGGTGGATGGTGCACCGGAAGTGTAGAATTTATGGAAACGCCGGGCAGCGTAAGACCTTTGAAGACTTCACCAGGCAGCAACATGCTTTGCTCCGGCCCTGGATTCAATCCATCCTCATATCACTTTTTGAAGTTAGCAGTAAGAAATGAAACAAAATTTAACAAATAAGATTCCCTTTTTCTTTTCTCCTTCCTTTTTTGGTATATTATATACGTAGCAGTTGTATAATTTTTTTAAATGTGAATATTATTACTGTCATTATCGACAGATAGATGGATGGATATTTTGAAGAATTTTTTTCCCAAGTTTCTATACAATTTAGAAGCAATAGCTTAATAGATTAAATATTAGCTTAAAGTATTTTATATGCTTTAAATGCCATAAAATAAAGAAAATGTGAAAGGAACATATTTCTGTCAAATAACGGTTCAAGATTATCGTTTATTGAGTTTTATGCTATACACAAAGTATCTACAGGGTAATTAAAAAACATCTGGCAAAAATGTAACAGTAGGTAGATAAACTGAAATAAGCAGATTTGGTAATATAATATATGCACCTAAATGACGCCTTGAGGTGGGTGGTACAGAGAGCTGTTGAGCAGTAGGTAAAATAACTAATCGCGTTAATTGTTACTCTGACTTATCAAAAACCGATACTTAATTATAACTTTGCTTTTGAATCTGCGAACATTATGCGTGAAGCTTCCTCATTTCGTAAACTGGATTTATTTGAACCCTTTTACAGTCACAAAAATTTTTCTTTAGTGACATTAATTTTACAATCTAGCATTTCCCAAAGATTTCAGAATTCTAATATCTTAGCTTATTTG